CTGAGGGAAACTTTGCTTCTTGTTATAATCTGCCTGTCTTTGGGCGGCAGCAGCTGTCATGGGACTGGGTGGGCGGGGAGAGGCTTGCAAGCTGACTCCTAGCCGGGAGACGCGACTTGGAGGGGGACGCAGCAGCCGAGACATTCAGCTCGGGGCAGACTCTGGGTGGCGACTCCCGGCTAGCGGCTGGGATGGCGCGGCGTGGCGGGGTGTCGCGGAGAGGAAGCCTGCCACACGCCGGAGAAGGCCGGCCCTCGTCCGCTGCAGACATCCATGCGTCAGGGAGCTGCGGGGCCTCGTGGTCGGTGGCGGGCGCGCTCGGGTGGGTTCTGGGCAGGGACCGAAAGGGGCTGATGGCGTGTGATCGCTCTTCTCCAGGCCGGGGGTGGGGAGTAAGTGTGTGCTGAGTGGGCTGCGCGCGCGGGTGTGCATGTTTGTGTGCACACGCTGCGCGCGCCTGGCGCGTACCTTTACCTCTGACGAAACTGCAGTGGAGCTCCGGTGGCGGTCACCGGGCGCCGCCACACGTCCCCTAGCCTAGGTCTGCGCGGAAGGTCGATCTCAGTCCCAGCACCACTACCGTCCCCCACAGCACCCTCACTCCCCCAACCCCCCGAGGACAGCCGGGGACTAAGGGGACTGGGTGCGGGTGGGGCAGAGTTGCCCCTGGGGAAGTTCTGTCCTTAGTTCTGGCACTTGTCTGGGAGCGTCTCCAAACCTTCGACTAAGCCTGAAATAGCCGGAGACTCGTTCAGGGACCCAGAGCAAGAAGTGTCGGTTATGAACTCGACTCTAGGTTTTAACTCCATCTTCAGTGTCCTTTGGTTCACCAATAATTAATTATTTGCCCTTTTAGAACGTCCAGCAGGCCTACTCAGTTAGGGCAATTTCACTCAAGGAAACTAGAAAATTGGGTAATCAGGTGTCAGCAGAAGCAGTGCAGTGAAAGTTAATCTGGGACGTTTGCTTTTTTTATTTAACCACGTGACAGGCTGAGGCTCTTCTGGTGATTTTTGCCGGCCTAACTTGGGAAATGTAATTGATAGGGGGAGTTTGCAGCCGCCCCTAGAAGGCTCATAGAGCCCAGCCGGAAGAGGACCTGGGCGGGCCATCGCGTGCCTCCTCATTTTACAGTTGGGGATAGAGGCTGTGAGGGGTGACCTGCTTGTGCAGGACCACGCAGCCAGCGGGTGACAGAGCCACCCAGGGCTCCTGACTCCAGGTCCTGTGTGTTACCTCGAAATAGCACTGGACTTGGAGTCAGAAGGCCTGAGTGGAGTCGCCTTCCCCACTCTCTGGCTGGGTGACCCCGGATCAAGCCATTTTAACTCTCTGAGCCTCCTTTCCTCCATCTGTCAAATGGGGCTGGTGGTGGCAGCAGGAGAAGCGAAGGGCCTGGTGGTGGGGTGAGCACTGTTTGCATGTGAGATGTCTGGTTCCTGCAATTCCCTCCCTCACCCTCCCCTCCTCCCTTTGGAAAGAGTGGGGAAAGTGAATAAAAAGGTAATTTATTGTCTTTATCCAAAATGACTTTCGTTGTCTTTGGTGGCTAATCCTGGGTTAGCTAGAGGGAGGACTTTTGTTTAAGAGACTTAACTTTTACCCATTTGGGCCAAAGTTCAGAAATCCAGCAGACCAAGGATTGTGAAAGTTTCTTGGAAAGGCTTGGGACATGTATTCCAAAGGACTCTGGGTTGGCTTCACCTTTGCTCAGGCTGTGCCCCTTGCCTGCATTGCCCTCACCCACCCATCCTGCATGGCCTTATCTAGTAGGCCTTCCCAGTCTGGCTTTCCCTGCTTTCTTTCTCTCACCTCTGGTTTTCTTAGTTTTGTGTTATACAACCAAGCATTTTGTGTGTGAGTTCTTTATCCCAATAAGATTCTTGAGCTAGAGTTGTGCCTTTCATCTCTTTGTGCCCCCGTGGCACCTGTCACCATGCTGACTTTCTTTGCTCAGCTCTTGACCAGGCACATGAATTACAGACAGAGGAAGCTTCCGGGCCCTCAGGGGAGACAGCTGGGCAGTGAGTATGGGGAGAGAGTAATGCAAAGGGCTGCAGCTGTAGGCAATGACTTAGGCTCCAAAGGCCATGCAGTAAGCCCACACTAAATATGGGTTGTTCGAAGTTGCTTGGGACATCAATCCTAGATGCCTGAAATGTCAGAGTTGGCAGGAACTTTGTAAATCATCTGGTCCAACCTCTTATCATTTAAAAATATGTAATTATAGAATTGTTAGAAAATACTGGTAAACATAAAGAAATTGAAAACATGTAATCTTGCCCAGCGATAACCACTATTAATTTTTATGTATACTTTTCAGACTTTTTTTCTTTCCTATTGATTATATCTTTGTAGAAAAATGGAGTCATTCTTTATATACTAATTGTATCTTGGAATCACACTGTTGTAACTTGTTTCTTTTTCCTCCTCTAGACAATGTACTGTGACTGTCTTTCCATGTCAGTAAATATCCTACTTAATATCGCAATATCTTAGTGGTTATATAGTATTTCATTGAGGGGTGAACCAAAATGTATTTAATCAGTCCTTTATTGTTAGTCATTTAAGCTGTTGCGTTTGGTTGTTTTTTTTTGCTATTGTAAGCTGTGCTGAAATGAATATCTTTGCATATGTCTTCATTCCTTTATTTAAATTCCTAGAAGTGAAATTACTCTGTGAAAGGAACTATGCAGGCATTTGGTAAACACATTTCTGGATTGCCTTCTAGAAAGATTGTGCCAATTTACACACTTACCAGCACTGTGTGGGAACGCCTGGTTTCCCAGATAACTCTTGGTGTTTTTATTGTTTTTCATTTTTACCAGTCTGTTCATCAATAAATTCTGTCACCCTTATTGTTTTAATGTGCAGTTTTTTTTATTATTTGTGATGCTGAACCTTTCCCCCATATGATTATAGGCCATGTATGGTTCTGTTCTGTAAAATGCTGTGTTTGTAAACTTGGTCCATTTTTCAATTGGTATCTTCTCCCCTCATTGTTCTAAAACTGGATCTGAGCGCTCAGAAGGGGTTCCCCCCACATGGAGAACTGGGGAAAAATGGCTTGAAGTCCTAGTGTTTACTTGCTAGATCTGGAATATTGCTGCCTCCACAGCCCCCAAAGCAGGGCCAACTTATTTTCCAAGTCAAAGTTCTAGCCATCTGTAGGTGCGGGTTGAAGCGCAGCCTTTGCTGGGTGCCTTTGCCTACCCTTCACCTGTGTGAGACCCGGGGGGGTAACGTCTTCACCTGAGCCCACAAGGGCACCTGTTTGCTGGCTTCATTTATCAGAGGCCCGGGCTCCACTTTCATTGGCGCTCCTTCGCTAGTGCTAGTGATCAGGATGCCTGTGAAACCCAGGAAAGGCAATGGCCCAGCAACTGGGGGATCATATTTCCCCTTCACTTTGGGGCCCTCCTCTCTCCAGCTGGTGCAAGACAGCCAGAAGCTCCCCCATTGCCAGGGGGAGTAATAGAAAGAATACTGCTTTGAGCCAGAAGCAGCCTTGCAAATGGGGGCTTGGTCTTGGAAGTCAGGCCATAACATGAGCATTGCAGGGCTAACAGTTATCTCCATCATCATCATTATCATCATCATCGGCGGCAATTATTGAACATCATCTAGATGCCATGCACTCTGCCCAGCCTTCTTTTTGCATTATTATATTTCATTCTCATAAAGACTCT